TGCATGTCTGCATTTTTCTAGTAAGTTCATAGTGTTCAATAGACTTTCTCTATAGGGTCCATAAGACTAAGAACCACTGGGACAGACAGGGGGCTAGATTGGTAGTTATTCTAGCATACACTATTTGACTGAGGTATAAAAACAGTCAACTTTCAATTACAGTAAATAGAAGACACTTGTTAGATAAAACAATATAATTAGCTTTGAAACAAAGTCACAAATTGCAAACTGTGACCCATTGGATCTAGATTTTAAAAAAATCAGAATAGAATAGGGTAGAAAATATCATTGAAGGCATTGCTTATAGTAAGGACATTATTTTACAAAATTCCTATTTCTGTTTTATATGTATGTGTGTTGTAAACTGGGTCATGATGTGAAATATATTGCTTACCATGGGTGATAGCCATCAAACACTGCTCTAATACCTGCTTTTCTTTTTCGGCTTTCCCTCAAAACTTTCGATATGCCATTTTTGTGGAAGCTTGGAACTAAGAAAGTTATAATAAAAAATACTAATGGTGATATAAAGAGTAGTATTTACTGAATATTCAGTGTGCCAGAAACTATGCTAAGAAGTTTACTTTCATAATCTCATTTAATCTGCACAATTCAGTAAGTATTATTATTCTCCCCTCCTTTTTTTTTTAAAGTCAGGGTCTTACTCTGATGCCCAAGGTGGAGTGCAGTGGCACAATCACAGCCCACCACAGCCTCAATTTCTTGGGCTCAGGTGATCCTTCTGCCTCAGCCTCCCCAGTAGCTGGGACTACAGGTGTGTGCCACCATACTCGGCTAATTTTTATGATCTTTTTGTAGAGATAAGGTCTTGTTATACTGTCTAGGCTGGTCTCAAATTCCTGGGCTTAAACAATCTTCCCACCTTGGCTTCCCAAAGTGCTTGGATTATAGGTGTGAGCCACCATGCCTGGCCTTAATCTCCATTTTACAGAAAACTTAGATTTAGAGAAGTAAAATTACTTGAATTAGACCTATTTCTACTGACTCAAAGCCCAGGCTTACTACATAACCTACAAGTCATGGGTCTCCTAGACAATCTAATGAGCAGATGATTTACTTAGTGATAAACATGAATTCAATGTTATCATTTTAGAAAGGTTCAGAGCCTTGGTCCTGTTCTTTACACTCACTTATTGCTTGGTTTCAACTGACACAGAATGTTCTGTAAAAGTGGTTATTTCTTCCTAAGATATGTTTTACTTTTTTAAATTAAAAAAAGTTTACATGCAGACATGAAACATGATGTATTATGTCAATCTTCAAACTGAAAGATCCCTTTAAAGGTCAAATTAGTATAAAATTATAAGGAGGCAGAGCACCATGTCAACAAATGCTATTTACTTTGTAGGTTTGTTGTGAGAACTCAACACTTACAGGCCAAGCACGGTGTGGCTCATGCCTGCAATCCTAGCACTTTGGGAGGTGGAGGTGAGAGGATTGCCTGAACCCAGGCATTGAGACCAGGCTGGGCAACTTGGTGAGACCTTGTGTCTACAATAAATCAAGAAATTAGCTAGGTGTGGTGGTGCGTGCCCGTACTGCCAGCTACTCAGGAGGCTGAGGTGGAAGGATTGCCTAAGCACAGCAGGTGGAGGCTATGGTACCTGTGTCCATGCCGTCTGGGTGACAGAGTGAGACTCTGACTCAAAAAAACAAAACAAAACAAAACTACTTACAAAAAGCACTGATAGATAGTACTACTAATACCTGTCACAGAATAAACTGTCAATAAATGTTTAACTATTATAGTTATCATACATGAACATAGGGAAGTCTATATAGTTTCTTGCTTAAGTTTTCCCCTACTTTACAGTTTGTCCTTTGGAACGTTTCAAAAATTTTGCTACTTCATGCTTTATAGCAAGAGGAATTTAAAATGTTTCTGTAGCTACATGTATGAAAAATCATTTAGACAGTTCAGTTCATAATTCAACTAACTATGTAGCTGCTTGAGTTTAAGGTTCATAATCACAAATGCCTACCAGTCTATGTAGATAACCTGAACGAGAGAAGTGGGATGGTGAAGCGTGGGCAGGCCTAGGTATTTGGATGGAGAACAGGGTATGTGATTTGAAACTGGATATCACCATTCAGTGCCAGAATACCATGCAGAAACATGACAGGGTCTGTATCGTCAGATTTTCAACAGAAATCAGAAATCTGGATGTCTAGGTAAAATGCCCTGGTTTTTAAATGATGGCACAAATTTAAATAGTGAAACACTTTGTAGGCCAAACAAAACAGTTCTATAAGCTAAATATAGCATCTAGGCTGCCAGTTTTACGCCACCATGCAGATACAACAAAGCTGACTGACACAGTCTAGGTAAGACCGTTATCAACTATAAGTTTTCAAAGAGTGGCCAGTAGGTAGGGAGAAGAATCCCAGAAGGTACACGTTCTGCAATTTTAGAAGCTTTAGAACACATACACTACCTGTCTTTGGGTAAACTATTGCTATTTTGAGAATAAAATTTCACAAGAAGTCCTGTGCAGATAGAGAAGTGATTTAAAGTTAAGGACAAATCATTAAAAATGCACAAAGAAAAAGTGGGCATGTTTACGTGATTTCAGGAAAAAATTTCCATTGAAAATTGAAGAACTAAAAACAACTTTCTAAGTAGTTAAAATAAAATACTTCTATTATAGAAGGAAACACTTGCATTTGATGAACTCTTGTAATAGAACACTATTATTTCATAACTCCTTATTCTTTTATAGGAGTATGGCATCTTTCATGGAGGTAAGCTTCTCAAGTCAGCTCATAAAGTGAAAATTTTTGCATAGTAAAAGCTGTCTTTACAAATCCCTTAAGTTATCCTAAGTAAAGAAATATGGCCAGGCGTGATGGCTCAAGCCTGTAATCTCAGCAATTTGGGAGGCTGAGGCAAGAGGATTGCCTGAGCCCGCAGGTTCGAGACCAGCCTGGGCAACATGGTGAGACCCTGTCTCTATAATAGATCAAAAAATTAGCTGGGCATGGTAGTACGCACCTGTAGTTCTGGCTACTTGGAAGACTGAGGTGGAAGGAATGCCGGAGCCCAGCAGGTCGATGCTGAGGTGGCCATGAGCAGGCCACTGTACTCCAGCCTGGGTGACAGAGTAAGACTCCAACACCCCCCCAAAATATATGGTTTTGTATACACTATACCACCTCTCAATAAGTCCAATACAAATAATTTTTACTTCACCATTAGAACAGATCATGTTTCTTTAGTTATACATGAGCAAAAAACAGCTAAAATTCTCCACTGTCACCCACTTAGGCCAGTTAGACTGAATGATGGTCAAGTGTGGACAAACTAACCTGGAAAGGTACCTTCTGTTAAAGAAAAAGTTATTGGTTAAAATATCTGGATAAGAAAGAGGCACTGGTGGCTTCAATGCCTAAGAGAACCAGAGATTAGGAATAATACAATGAACAGTCCTATGGTATCTTTCCAAAAAACACAGGAACCCACAAATAAAGAATAAAGATATTGTTTAGAAAAATTTAACAAGGATTCAGTACAGAATCTGTAACAGATTAAGGGAGTCTTATAGAAATAGTTCTATTTTATCCAGAAAACTAACACAGGGAGAGAATGAATGTTATTAATATAGTTTCTGGTAACCTGAGTGTTAACTCTACTTGCAGGCACAGAGAACTGAGTTGCCAAACTTGGTTGTGAGGGAGAGCTAAAGATCTTTTACTTCTGACCTAAATGTAGTCTCAAGTTTACCACTTTTCTGGGATGTAAATGCTATGCAGGTGTTTTGATTTTCACTAAACGTTAATAGACTGGTATACCAGTTTATATACAGAGCATCTTACCAAGACCTCATCATTTCTAAGAAAAGTAAAAATACCTTGTTTTTGAACTTCTAAAGCTAAGGATTAGGTTTCAAAACCAAGGCAGCCAGGCTCGATGGCTCAGTCTGTCATCCCAGCACTTTGGGAGGCTGAGGTGAATGGATTGCCTAAGCCTGCGGCTCAAGACCAGCCCGGGCAACTTGGCGAGACCTCGTCTCTATGACAAATCAAAAATTAGCCAGGCATGGTAGCATGCACCTGTAGTCCTGGCTACTTGGAAGGCTGAGGCGGAAGGATCGCTGGCACCCAGAAGATCGACACCAGAGTGGCTGTGAGTATGCCACTGCCCTCCAGCCTGGGCAACAGAGTGAGACTCCAACTCAAAAAAACAAGAAAACAAAAATAAGGCAGGCAGGGCACAGTGGCTCAAGTCTGTAATTCCAGCACTTTGGGAGGCCGAGGTGACAGGATTGCCTGAGCCCAGGGGTTCGAGACCAGCCTGGGCAACTTGATGAGACCTCATCTCTATAATATATCAAAAAAATTAGCCGGGACTGGTAGTGTGCACTGGGGTGCCCGTGAGCGTGCCACTGCACTCCAGCCTGGGTTACGGAGTAAGACTCCGACTCAAAAACAAACAAACAAACAAAAACACAAAAAAACAAAATCAAAGGAGATGCTAAAGCTGTCCTAAGGCACATCATAAACACTAGGTGTAGTTCACTATAGATTAAAAGTGTTCATTTAATGGAGCACAGCCAACCAAGAATTAGTGATGACAAACTAGCCACAGCAATAGCTTTAACCACAGTCAACAGGCTCAGAGACTCCTACGTGTGTGTTTGCCACATGGGATGCACATTTATGGAACATGTTTTCTGTGGCTAAGTATAGTAACAATGGTAGGATTATGTAAAAGGAATTAACCTATTCTATACACTGGAGTCAGGACATTTTTTTAAGAATTGGTAAAAAAGGGATACGTATAAGTTGTATTCATGACAACATGCTAGTTTCAGTAACCAGGCAAGGAGAATAGGTTTGAAAATTGTGTCAGCTCACTCTAAACAAACATTGGTTGGTAATGCAAGTTGGGTCTCAGAAGGTAGAAAATGATCTGGTCATCGAATTGATGAGACAACCAAGGCTTTGCAAGGTTTAGTGGCCCTTTTCCAGCCATGACTTACCTGTATAGACTGGCATTGATACAGAAATCGGACTCCTGACACATGAGCTTGCGGGTTGGACTGGAGGCCTACATATGCCCACAGTACCTGGATCTCCAGGGAAACAGGTATGAGACAGCAAGAAGTACAGTTCCCAGCCTGCAGAAGAGTGAAGAAGCATCTGCTTAAACTGCCCGATGGCTGCCTGTAGTCAGTCACTATTCATTAAGCATTGTTTCCTAAGCATTATACAATATAGAAGGCAATGTAGCTAAGAGGAAGAACACAAAAGTTCACAAGAGACCTTATTATTATTATTATTATTATTTTAGAGACAAGGTCTCACTGTCACTCTGAAGTACTGTAGGGCAATCATAACTCACTGTAACCTCAAACTCCTGGGCTCAAACAACACTCCCACTTTAGCTTCCCGAGAAGCTGGGACTACAGATGCCTGGCTAACTTTTAAAAAAATGTTTTGTAGAGAGTGGTGAAGGAACATTCATTGATTAGTTTAAATAATAGTTACTAAGTATTTCCTATGAGCCAGGCATGTGGGAGGCACTGGCCTTGAAAAGACCACTTGGTTGAACTAAAGGATTTGAACATAGGAGCAGTGAAAGGTTAAAGATGACAAAACATCAGGATTAGATTATGAAGTCCATCCAAGCAGCCTGTTTTAGCGTCAAGAGCCTCAAAAGTTTCTAGAACAGAAACATGGTATACTTAAAGCAGTATTCGGGGGGGATTAATTGCAAGATGCAGAAGAATATACTTTTTCCATTTTTAAAAATAATGTATTTTAATGTAAATTAAATGTAAAAATGTACATTTTTACAAAAAGAGCACAATTATAACCTTATGGAAGAATCTGTGCTGACCAGACAAGGCATGGTGGCTCACTCCTGTAATCCCAGCACTTTAGAAGACCAGGGCAGGAGGATTGCTGAGTCCAGCAATTTAATACTAGCCTGGACAACATAGCAAGACCTCATCTCTACAAAAAAGTAAAAAAATTAGCTGGGTGTGGTAGAATATGCCTGTAGTTCCAGCTACACAGGAGGCTGAGGCAGAAGGATTGCCTGAGCCCAAGAGTTTGAGGCTGCAATGAGTTGTGATTGTGCCACTGCACTCTAGTCTGTACAAAAAAGTGAGACACCCAACTAAAAATAAATAAATAAAAAAAATAAGAATCTACGCTGACCAAATATTCAAGAATGTAAGAGAATATTTGAAACATATGGTATGATTTTTCAATCACAAACAGATTTTCCACTTGCAAATTTTTTTTAAGTAGAAAAATAAGTTAAGTGTAAACCTGACCTGACATAATGACTTCAGGTGGCTCTGATTTCTGACACTCTTCCTTCTATGACAAACACACTATCTATGGAGACAAGGCTGGTTTTAACCTTACTATCTATAAATTACAAAGCAGGAAAATGAGTCTTCATCAGAAAGTGTATTTCTCTCCCTACCGGACCACTGCAGCTCCTGCGGAGGACCTGGGTCCATCCTCCCTTCTGGGTTGGGTCAGCATTGCCAAAGATGGCAACATGCTCTGGCCTCAGCTTTCCATGAAGAGTCCGATAAATCTCCTGTGGCAAGTGGCTGCAGTCTACTTCCTTCAGCCTGTAATAAACACCACGGACACTAGAGTCCAATGCTAACATAATAATGTAACCATCTTAGTTTTGCACATGAATCTAAAGATTAGAAATGATACTGTAAAATAGATTGGAGGAAATAACCCTTAGTACATATTAAGGACTATCAGGAAACGCTTAGCAATATTAACGTTATTTAGATTAAAAGACTTTCCTAACTAGCATCTTCTGACCCGCCATTGAAAATATGTTACCCTATCAACACACTCTCTATATATTCCTGAAGAAATTGTGGGAAATGATATGGAAGAGATTACCTGAGTTTGCATCCAGATATTGCATTCACTCCAAACTGCACTTCATGTCTCTTAACAGAACAAGTCCCATCACCCTGGCTCTGTGACAGAGTCATCTGAGGTGAAGTGGTGATCAAGGAGATAATAGAAAAAAGTTGGCTAGGACTGGAAAATGTATGCTCTCAGGTTCCCTTAATGCTGTACTTTATCAATATCGTGTTGTTCAAGTCCCAAATTTGTGTTATTTCCCTCTAGTAATTAAAAAAAGAGAGACAACTACTGTTTTTCCAAAAATGGTTAACCCTATATCAGTCTCCAAGTATCTCATTAAAACAAACAAAAACCAGTCCAGTCCTTACCTTTAGCTAGTCTAGAGCAAGTTTTATAGCCTTTGGTGGCATCAATATTTAAGACCATAATGTATTAGTAGTTTGGTAAATAAAGTGCTGAACACCAAAAAGTGGGGGAAGTTGGAGAACTAGAATTCAAAAGATCAGTGGATGCAACAGTTTTTCTTTTCTTTTTTTTTTTAAGAAACAGGGTCTCATTCTGACACCCAGGCTGGAGTTTAGTCACTCGATTATAGCTCACTGCATCCTTGAACTCCTGGGTTCAAGTGATTCTCCAGTCTCAGCCTCCCCAGTAGCTGGGACTACAGGTATGTACCACCATGCTTGACTAATTTTTTTTTTGATTTGCACTGTCACCCAGGCTGGAGTGCAGTGGTACACTCACAGTCACCTTAGCGTCGACCTGCTGAGCTCTGGCAATTCTTCTGCCTCAGCCTTCCAACTACAGGCATGTGCTACCACGTCCAGCTAATTTTTTTTTTTTTTTTAATGTATTGTAGAGATGCAGTTTCACCAAATTGCCCGAGCTGGTCTCAAAACCCATGGGCTCAGGCAATCTACTCGCCTCAGCCTCCTAAACTGAGCTACTGAGCCCAGTCTAATTTTTTTTCCCCGCTAGAGACAAAGTCTCACCATGTTGCCCAGGCTGGTCTTGAACTCCTGGGTTCAGGTGATTCTCCCATTTCACCCTCCCCATTAGCTGGAATTACATGATCCACCACCCTCAGCCTGTTGCTTTTCTCAGGAGGCTCCACAAAGGATACGGCGTAACTCACATCACCAGTTAGAGCCAAGAGTGGTTTCCCAACAATGTAGCCAGGATTCCCACTTCTGGGCCCAGTAAGAGAAGCAGGTGTGCTCTGCTGAAAAGCCTGCAGAAAGAGTAGAGTCAATCATGGAGCAAAGTGTGCATTCCCACCTTCTACTGCTTAGCTTCCTGAGCTTCACGGACAATCTGGCCACTCTCCTCAGTGTAGCATTTTGCAGAAGTTTCTTTTACTTTTTTTTATTCACTAAAATAAACCCTTGGTGACTTGAATATTGAAATCCACTATACACTACTTTTACCACAGATCTCTTAACTCCGCTTCTCAAAAATTATCAGCAACTTAGGGCTATGTTCAGCCTGGCTAAAACCAGAGGAAATGAAATATAATTTTAAAAATATATTTTAATTAACCATAGATGTTCCAGAGATGAAATCTGGAGACACAGGACTTGGCTGATCACCTGAAGGCAGAACTTAGAAAAACTACGCTGGGTTCAAAAAGAGGAAAGAAGCAGGAGAAAGCAAAGGATGGTGATCAGGATTGAAGACTTAGAGTGAGCAGGGAATGAATAAAATTCCGAATGCCCAGAAATAGGAGAAAAACTAGCTAGAGAATTTCTGTGGATGTTGGCTGAATTTATAATTGAAAATGATTATTTAAAAAGAATTTTGGCCGGGCTCAGTGGCTCAGCCTGTAATCCCGCGCCTTTGGGAGGCTCAGGTGAGTGGATTGCCTGAGCCCGCGGGTTTGAGACCTGCCTGGGCAGGTGAGACCTCATCTCTACAATAAATCAAAAAAAAATTAGCTGGGCATGGTAGTGAGCGCCTGTAATTCCGGCTACTCAGAAGGCTTAGGCGGAAGGATCCCCGGAGCCCAGCAGGTCAAGGCTGCGGTGGCCAGAAGCGGCCACTGCACTCGAGTCTGGGCGACAGAGTGAGACTCCAACTAAAAAAAAAAAAAAAAAAAAGAATTTTGATTTGAGATTAAAGTCCTGCTTTGTAGGGGGCCAGAGAATCAGAGAAGATGTTAATGAATAAACATGTTGAATACATTTTAAAAAAAAATATATATATATGTATATATTTTTTAAGTTGGAGTCTCACTCTGTCACCTAGGCTGGAATGCAGTGGCATGCTCAGGTGATCCTTCTGCCTAAGCCTTCCAAGTAGCTGGAACCACAGGTATGCACTACCACACCTGGCTAATTTTTTAAAAAATTTATTGTAAAGACAAGGTCTTGCCAAATTACCCAGGCTGGCCTTGAATCTCTGGGCTCAGGCAATTCTCTCGCCTCTGCCTCCCAAAGTGCTGGGATTACAGGCATAAGCCACCATGCCCAGTCGGATACCTATAATTTGTAGTTAAATTATGGACTATTAAATATTGAGGCCTCAACTGATGGACTGAACTAGGTCTTCATATTCTTATTCTATCTCACATGTATTGCAGAAGCAGAGGAACAACCTCTAACCCAATATTTTTTCCCCTCTCAATCCCCTAACACAGAAAAGCCCTAACCCGGAAGCGGATGATGAAGTGCTGCTCTAAGGAAGCACCTGGCTCCACAGTCAGGTTGGTTTGTCCAAAACTGACAGAGACCTTCTGGATCCCGAAAGTCCCATTGGTCTCAATCTCATAGATGACCTGAAATGCAAAAGATTCAATTGATAAAAAATAGGTATCGGGCTGATCATGTTTAGGACAGAAGAATTTCTGTCTTTAAGGGTTTTATGGTAACTGAGGGAGACTGAAAAAGCAATGTTAATGCCAAATACAAATACCATGAAAAGGTGAAGATGACTTTACATATATTTGCATATGAAAAAGACACTGGATAGAGTTCTTCCATAGGGTTCATGGATGACGTGAGTTTACATAAGAACTAAAAGGGAAGAAAAGAAGTTTGGATTGTGCGTGGAGCAGGGCAAGCAGAAACAGGCAGAGGTGAGCAGGGAGCGGAAAACTGGTTTCCTTCCCTCTCCTGATGTCTGAGGAGGAATAAAAGATAGTAGCTGGGAATGGAAGTCAAAAACAATCAAAGGTGACCTTAAATTTCAGGGCAGTCTTTCAAAGCATGCTTTAAGATAATTCTTACTTTTTTAGGTTGGATTGATTAGGAGAGAGAGAACAGAGGAACAGAAGTTGACTAATCTATTTCAGACTTTCAGATGATACTGACTGTGTCAACAAAAGAAAACATGATCAGGCAGCAAGAACCGGTAATAGACGGCACATGGAAAAAGGGAGATGAGTCAGAAATGGTTTTAATATTATGAACCTGAAATACTAGAGGAAAGTGGCAATGGGAATGACTGAAACGTGGCAGGGAGGATGATGGGCTCCACTCTTTACAAGTTAAATTTCAGGTAATGCACACAAGTTCTGTGGGGGGGGAGCAGGTCAGTCCGGGGCTTAATGGAAGACGAGGCACCTGGCAGTGCTGATCACCATTCATCGTCCAGAATCCAAGGGCAACATCCCTACCTGGGAAACAGCATTCTGACAAACATCTCCAGCCAACAGAGGAGGACCAGCCTGTGAGATAAGTGTTACAGGAACCTGGAGCTGGTAAGGGAAAGAAGCAAATCAACTAAAATTGACAGCGGTATTTTATCTTCTAGCTAGACATTATGTTAAAAGGAGGTTTTTCCTTCCCCTTGACTCTTCCATTGTCAGTCCATAACTTAGACTCGAAACTTCTTTTTTTGTTTTTTGAGCCAGAGTATCACCCTGTCACACAGTGGCATGATATGGCTCACTGCAGCCGCGACCCCCTGGGCTCAGATGATTCTTCCATTTCAGCCTCCTGTGTAGCTGGGACTACAGGTATGTACCACCATGCCTGACTAATTATTTTATTTTTTGTAGAGACGAAGTCTTGTTATGCTGCCCAGGCTTATCTCAAACTCTTGGGCTCAAGCAATCCTCCCGCCTCAGCCTCCCAAAGTGCTGGGATTACAGGTGTGAGCCCCCATGCCCAACCTAAGAGTCTTTCTAAACCAGCACTTCTCAACACTCATTTCTCATAACATAAATTCCATTAGATGTAAAACAAGGGTTCCACAGTGAAATAAGTTTTAGAAATACTGTATTCAATACTCCCCTCTTTGAGATTAACAAGGCCCTCTAGCAAATTAAAAATGTAGAGGTCCATCCTAAATAAGGTTTATTCAACCCAAAGTCTTCCCAATGTATCCAACACCTTATGAATCCTTATTTCATATGAGGCTATTCATCCTATAGAATGTACTTGCAGGCCAGGCTTGGTGGCTCAGCCTGTAATCCCAGCACTTTGGGAGGCCAAGGCAAGTGGATTGCCTGAGCCTGTGGGTTTGAGACCAGCCCAGGCAACCTGGGGAGACCTTGTCTCTACAATAAATAAATAAATAAATAAATTAGTTGGGTGTGGTAATGCACGCCTACAGTTCCAGATACTTGGAAGGACGAGGAGAAGGATCACTGGAGCCCACCAGGTCGATGCTGGAGTAGCCGTGAGCATGCCACTGCACTCCAGCCTAGGCAACAGAGTTAGACTCCAACTCAAAAAGAAAAAAAATGTGCTTGCAAAGTATGGTTTTAGATGCATACTTAATTGTTTGCTATACCACGCTTTCATTTATCTTTTACCACTACAATCTAGACTGAAACTGTCTCAGAAGCAAAGAGGCCAAATATTCTTTTTTTTTCTTTTTTCCTGATAAACGATGTCATACCTCCATGTTCTGCAGATCAGTGACAGCTCTTGGAACCTAGAAGAAGAGAACCGCAGGGACATGAGTGTTGTGCCTATACCTTATAAAAAATCACCAGGAGCTTGTGGTTTCATATGACTATCCACAGGTTTTGGCTTTAGGGGGGAAAACACAATATAAATATATTAGAATGATTTGCTTCTTCTCTTCCCCTGACTCTTCTTACACTATAATGTCAGCGAGTGGAGCTAAATGGGAGGGTGGACAGACTGCTACGCCTGCCTGCCTTGATAGAGCTCTACTGAAAAGCAAAAGCAAGCTGGGCTCTGTGGCTCAGCCTGTAATCCTGGCCTTGGGAGGCTGAGGTGAGTGGATTGCCTGAGCCCACGGGTTTGAGACCTGCCTGGGCAAGTTGGCAAGACCTCCTCATCTCTATAATAAATCAAAAATTAGCTGGACGTGATAGCATGCGCCTGTAGTTCCAGATACTTGGAAGGTTGAGGCGGAAGGATTGCTGGAGCCCAGCAGGTCAAGGCTGCGGTGGCTGGGAGTGGCCACTGCACTCCAGTCTGGGTGACAGAGTGAGACTCCAACTCAAAAAAAAAAAGAAAAGCAAAAGCAAGAGTCCGATGAGCTGTCATGCCCTCCCCCTCCCACCAACCACATTAGCGATAGGAGTGAAGATCACTCCTCCTGGGTATATATCCCTAATTCTTGCATCTGTCTTCAGATGATAGGGTTTCTGGGTCCCCTGTCTTTTATGTTGCCCACGGGGATTCTGACTTCCAGCTCAATGCTCTTTCTACAACCCACAACAGCGGGAGAATGTTGACTTCAAATCCACAGTGGCGACAGGGTGGGAAGAGAAAAAACACCTACCTTCAAGACTGTGAAGTTATAGTAAGAGGCAGCATCAAGAGCTGAATCCAAGGTACAGCTCCTTACTAGATTCTTGAAGAAACGAGTGCAGGTTGTACTTTTGCTCTCTAGGAAAGCTTAGAACACAAAGAATTAAGAGAAAGGTACATGAGAAAGTCTATTTTATCTTATTTTATTTATTTATTTTTTTGAGTTGGAGTCTTACTCTGTCGCCCAGACTGGAGTGCAGTGGCCGTTCCTGGCCACTGCAGCCACGACCTGCTGGGCTCCAGCAATTCTTCCACCTCAGCCTTCCATGTAGCTGGAACTACAGGCGCGCGCTACCACGCCTGGCTAATTTTTTGATTTATTGTAGAGATGAGGTCTCGCCAAGTTGCCCAGGCGGGTCTCGAACCCGTGGGCTCAGGCAATCCACTCACCTCGGCCTCCCAAAGCACTGGGATTACAGGCTGAGCCACCGATCCCAGCTGAGAAAGTCTATTTAAACTGAGCAAAAAGGCTGATACTTCTGCCCTGGACTCACCTGCAGGATTGCTCTCAGCACAGAGTCCCCCAGCTCCAACCCCTGCAGGCTGTCTCAGCAAGTTTATTACAGACCACTTGGGGAAGTAAGTCAGAATGGGGTCCCCAGCCTGAATAAAATACAAGAGAAATATATAGGAGAAAATATTTTTTGTTGAAGCATCTATCTATCTATCTATCTATCTATCTATCTATCTATCTATCTATCTAGAGAAAGCAAACACACTAGTCTTAAACTCAAAGCACTTTAAAAAATTTAAATATGTGTATTACTACTACCCAGATGAAGTTCTAGAACATTCTCCCAGATCACACCAGAAAATAAAAAGTACAAAGGTTAACTCAACAGCATTTTTCCATGGCCAGTGCTACCCTCTAAAGAGTTGACAATGGTTTACCTAGTTGTAAGGTGGGACCACAGTGATACCTCATCAACTGCTGTGAAAGGAAAAACCACACCAGATGATCCCATTCCTCTCCCAGCCTCACCCTGTAAAATGGTGGTGGTGACTGGGTCTGGAATGTTGAAGTAAATGGTTCGCCTCCAAACTCTGCAGCCAGGGCCTGGAAGTTGCTTGCATTGACTTTTTGGAGCTTCTGGAAATAGTTTAATTTTGCTGAAATGTTTTTTTAAAAGAAAAGGAATTTAGATGAAAGAAAATCATTTATTTTTAAACATATGGTATGTCAAATAACTAATTTTTAAAAATACTTTTTGTTGAAGAAAAAAATATATATAAAGTATGCAAACGCACTAGTCTTAAGTATAAACTCAAAGCATTTTTACAAATGTATATACTTGTAATTACCACTGCCCAGATCAATTTCTAGAGCATTTTCCCAGAAGGTTCCTAATCAATTCTCCATCTCCAGAAATAACAATTCTGATTTCTATCACTTCTTAATTTATTCACAATCTATTAACTTAATTATTATTTTAATATTAAGATTTGAGATAAAAACGTGGTCAATGAATGCCAGCCAGTTCCAAGTCTCTGACAACTAAGAATGCATGTGATCAGCAATTTGTGATGAAAACACAAAGCTCAATAATACTCATATTTGCCTCATATAGTCGAGTCTGATATAAGAAAATGGTAGCTTCCATAGGAACATGGCAAAGGTTAGAGACAATATCTGATCTGTCCTCCCCATGTCTTTCAGATTCCTCTAAACTTCAATTGACCAGTCCCAATAATAATGTTTCCATCTCTCAAGTTTATGGATTTATTTTATTCCTTTTCACCTTATAATTCCTTCATTCAACATTTCAGACACCTCAGGATATTTTCATTCTATAATTTCTATATAGCAATATGTAAATCTATCCAAACTCCTGCAGCCATCTCTGTGTCGTACTTCAGAACCAGGAGAGATGTAGGAAAAGGGTCCCACGGCCCTGGGGCTATCCCCTGCTGAGAGGACGGCAGGTGACAGACAACACTGTCTGCTTTACCACTCCAAGACTTCTGCTAACTTGGAAAAAGAAGACCATAGAAACGTGGCCATGCTAGTTTCATTCTTCATATAATTAGGGTCATTTAGACAGAGTCAAAAATATTATAAGACCTGTACCTGATATATCATAAAGCAAATGAACACAACTTTCAATTCTGGGGCCTTTTAGACTACTTACTTTATACATCTCGTAGATCCTTGCTATAGAAAGTGGGATACACAAAATGGTATCCCCAGTACCACCTGGGAGCTTGTCAGAAATATAGACTCTCAAGCCACACTCCAAGTCTGTTGAGTCAAAATCTGCATTTTTTTCCACGTCACTTTCTTATCATCATCTCATTTTAAAATCTGCATGCAGGGCCAGGTACGGTAGCTCAAGCCTGTAATCCCAGCACTTTGGGAAGCCAAGGTGAGAGGATTGCCTGAGCTCAGGGGTTTGAGACCAGCTTGGGCAACTTGGTGAGACCTCTCTCTACAATAAATCAAAAAATCAACTGGGGCTGGTGGCACATGCCTGTAGTTCCAGCTACTTGGAAGGCTGACGCAGAAGGATCGCCTGAGCCCAGCAGGTCGAGGCAGCAGTGGCCGTAAGCATGCCACTGCACTCTAGCCTGGGCAACAGAATGAGACTCCGACTCAAAAAAATAAAAATAAAATCTGGCCAAGCTTGGTGGCTCAGCATGTAATCCCAGCACTTTGGGAGGCCGAGGTGAGTGGACTGCCTGAGCCTGCGGTTTTGAGACCAGACTAGGCAACTTGGTGCAACCTCCTCTCTATAATATAAATAAAAAATTAGTCAGGTGTGGTAGCGCATGCCTATAGTTCCAGCTACTTGGAAGGCTGAGGTGGAAGGATCACTTGAGCCCAGCAGGTCGAGGCTGCAGTAGCCGTGAGTGTGCCACTGCACTCCAGCCTGGGTGAAAGAGTGAGACTACGACTCAAAAAAACAAAAATTTTTTAAAAATCTGCGTGTTAACAAGATCTCCAGGTAACCTGCATGCATAGCAGAGTTTGACAAACACTGCTCTGAAACAAGTGATGCTGCACCTGCTGGGGTCTGCGGGCTACCTTCCACTTCTGATCTGAAATCTTCAAACTCTGAAGCTTCTGAGAACTATTTTAATATTTCCTTCCGAACTCATGCCCTGAAAACCACATGGAAGAGATATTTTCCTGAAATCAAATGCAGTTATTTCTATCCTTATAAATGAAAGAAAAGTTTAAGATAAGATAAGAAAAAAGGTGAGCCAAGATGGCAAATATCTACCTGGCTATTTTTTCATGACTTAAACGATAAGAGAAAGTTAACATTTTGCCTATCCCTTCAGTGTGGAGATATTGGTGGTAGTGGGGGTCAACACAGGCAAAGGATAATTTTTGCCTAAAATTTCTGCCATCATACGTAGTAATATTATATCTAACAGAGCTTAAAGATCTTTAGACTTAGATTGGTACAATTTCAGATGTGGAAGGAAGTCTGGAGACTATCTGACCCAATACCATTAGGAAATTTGGATCCTCAGAGGTAAAAGAGTGGCTGAAGGTCACAAAGCCAGCTTACAGAACCAGAAATAGATCACAGATCTCCTGATTCCTAGTCTAAGTTTTTTCCAACTCCAATGTGCTGTACAGACTTGTACTAAAAACATCCTTTACTGAGGACCATTATCAGTAGATATTAAGCATTATAGGAAGACAAAGATATGGTCCATCATTTCAAGGTGCTGACAATATACTTCGAGTGACATGATGTTCACATAAACTGATAAAAATACAAGGAATACTGTACAGGAGTGACTAAAACAATAAATGCCTTAGAGCTTCTGAGAATGGGCTCACTTTCAACAAATGAGCAAGAAAAGACTCATGGAAAAAAAACTGAGATTTTACACCAGGTGTGGGGGCTCAAGCCTGTAATCCCAGTGCTTTGGGAGGCCAAGGCTAGAGGATTGCCTGAGCCTAGGAGTTCGAGATTAGCTTGGGTTACTTGGTGAGACCTCGTCTCTATTATAAATAAAAAAAATTAGCTGGTTGTGGTGATGTGCCCCTGAATTCCCAGCTACTTGGAAGGCTGAGGCAGAAGGATTGCCTGAGTCCAGCAGGTAGTGACTGTGGTAGCTGTGATTGTGCCACTGCACTCTAGTCTGGGCAACAGAGTGAGACTTCGACTCAAAACAAAAAAAAGGGTGGGGGGAGGGATTTTAAAAGGTAAAGAGAAAGAGGAACACTTGAGTCAAAGAGAAAAGCAAGCAAACATAAAAATACAAGGCACATCTAAGGACAAAGCATAGATAGGGGAGGAATTTGGCTAAAGAAAAGGGTCAGTGTAAACCGGGCTTGGTGGCTCAGCCTGTAATCCCGTGCCTTGGGAGGCTGAGGTGAGTGGATTGCCTGAGCCCGCGGGTTCGAGACCCACTTGGGCAACTTGGCGAGACCTCATCTCTACAATAAAAATTAAAAATTAGCTGGGTGTGGCAGCGCACGCCCATAGTTCCAGCTGCCTGGAAGGCTGAGGCAGAAGGATCACCGGAGCCCAGCAGGTGGAGGCTGCAGTGGCTGGAAGCGGCCACTGCACTCCAGTCTGGGCGATGGAGTAAGACTCCAACTCAAAAAAAGCAAAAACAAAAAACAAAAAACAAAAAAAAAGAAAAGGGTCAGTGTAGAGAATAATGGTAGAAGAAACTAGAAAGCTAAGATGGATGAAATATGAGAACACCTTGATCGGCAGGCTTAAGAAGCTGGACATTAGTCTATAGGCAGCAGGAAGTCATCAGAATAAGGAAGCAACACAAAGCAATGCTATGGAAAGATGAATCCAGTAAAGGGATGGCTGTGTGGACTGTGTATATGCTACGTGTGTGTGTGTGAGGGAGGCAGGCGGAGAATCAGACCCAAAGGAATGCTTTTGCCTTTTTCATACTAAGCATGAATCCACTCCCCAGCCTCATTCAGGGAAAGTTCATTGATGTACTGACCCTTGATGACTACTGGAAGTGACCATATTTCTCAGGAGTTGTTGGACAAAGAAATTTCAGGTCCACTGGTCCAGAAGCAGTGTGGAGGACTGTGTGGGAGGCAGGAGTGGGGATTACAGGTGTGAGCCATCACATCTGGTCTAAAATCTCTATTTTTTTCCATGAGTCTTTTCTTGCTCACCTGTTGAAAGTGAGCCCATTCTCAGAAGCTCTAAAGCATTTATTGTTTTAGTCACTCCCGTGCAGGGTCCCTTGAGCGTGATCCTATGGCTGAACTTAGATGGCAGTAAAAGCTTTGGAAAGGACTTATTTTAAAATGAAGCATTCACCTTGCTCCCTTTACCCTCTTACAACCTAAATGGCACAGGGCTCCTGACAACCGGTTTCAAATTCAAAATTCCCCCAAACCAAAAATTGGTTGTTTTCTGAAACAAACAAAGCTTTGCAATTTCTTTTCACACAGACAAAATCAGGGTGAGTTGACTTTCAGGACGCAAAGAACATTTAAATCTATTTTGCACAGGAATGTTATTTTGCTTCATAGTCATTTAAAAAAGACATATTAGCTTCTTATCTTTAGAAATGTCTGAGTCATCACTAGCAAATTTCTAAGTCCATTAAAAACCCCAATAACCATCCAGGTGAGGAGGCTGAAGCCTGTAATCCCAGTACTTTGGGAGGCCGAGGTGAGAGGAATGCCTGAGCCCAGGGGTTTGACACCAGCCTGGGCAACTTGGTGAGACCTTGTCTCTACAAAAAAAAAAAAAAAAAAAAAATTAGCCAGGCATAGTAGCACATACATGTAGTTCCAGTTACTTGGAAGGCATGAACCGCCACACCTGTAATCACAGTACTTTGGGAGGCTGAGGAGAAAAAACTGCCTGAGCACAGGAGTTCAAGTCCAGCCTGGGCAACTTGGCAAGACCTTTACAATAAACAAAAAAATTAGCTGGGCGTGGTGGTATGCACCTGTAGTCCCAGCTACTTGGAAGTCTGAGGTGGAAGGATCACCGGAGCCCAGCAGGTTGACGCTTAGAGTGGCCGTGAGTGTGCACTGCACTCCAGCCTGGGCGATGGAGTGAGATTCTGACTTAAAAAAAAAAAAAAAAAAACCCAAACCAATAACCACCTCTCATCTTTATCATACTCTATAGAGCACTTTCAAATACAGGGCCAAGTGATATTATTTCTCACTTTACAGTTGAAGAAATGAGCCTGGAAATGCTGAGGGATTTACCCAGTTCAGTGCAACTGATAAAGAAATGGCAGAACTGAGATCCTACTCTAATGCTCCTTCTCCTTCACTGTTGCCTCATGAAATAAAAATAAGAAGCCAGGCATGCTGGCTCATGCCTGTAATCCCAGCATTTTGGGAGGCGGAGGGGAGAGGACTGCCTGAGACCAGGGGTTCGAGACCAGTCTGGGCAACTTGGTGAGACCTTGTCTCTACAATAATTCAAAAAATTAGCTGGGCATGGCGGTGTATGTCTGTGGTTCAAGTCACTTGGTCCGCTGAGGCAGAAGAATCACCTGAGCCCAGTAGGTCAAGGTTGCAGTGACTGTGAGCATGCTACTGCACTCCAGCTGGGGAGACAGAGTGAGACCCAGACTCAAAAAAAAAAAAGTAATGAAAACAAGGTTGGCATTGCTTTGTCAAAGATGTTCATTCAAGTCTTATTGGGTGCCTACTATGTGTCAAGTATTGGAGATTCAGTCAGTGACTACCCTCATGGAGATTGTAGCAAGTAGGAAATATAGTTTATCTGTGATTAATCATCAAGAGGGATGATTAAAATAATTGAAATTAAAGCTCTATATGAGTTTTCTGATCCTCAGTCAATAGCACATGAGAAATTGCAAATATTCAGTTATAAGAGAAAGGAGAGGCAGAAAGAAAGGTAAGAGACTCAAAGGACCCCAAAAAGCTTAAAAAAAGAAAGAAACGGGGGGAAAAGCCAGAGACAAAAATCAATTTCTCAACAAACTAACACGTTTCCACTCACAGTCATTCACATGGACACAAAACCGCCTAATTCCTTCTGAATCCACTAAAACTCTTGAAGGAAACGGGGAATTACTTCTGAAGATCAGAGAGTTGTCTATACACACCCAGCTTGAAGACCTGTGAAGAAAGAGATGGGAGATACATTCAGAAGCAGAGGGGTAGATCTGAACAAGAGTGCCCACAGATGTCAGTCAGATGCCAAAGAGAGGACTCCTTGTGCAGCCATAGGACAACACGACGGTCCTACTGGACGGACCTGACCTGCTCTACAGAATCAGAGGAGGTCATTCCTGGGAAGAACCAAGGGAAAGTCCTGGAGCGGAAATGGGGGCTGGAGGTACGAAGGGCAACTCTTCCTGCTTCCAAATATCCTAGGCCTCAATCCCTTTTACTATTCAGCTGAATGCCGAAGCTCACCTCACACTGCCAGGAAGGCAGAAGGAGAAAACCGTCCTGGGACGGAGAAGGTAGCAGTCTCGGTCGCAGCAGCAATTTATATCGCAGGTACCAGGAGTCAAGTCACAGACACAGATCGGCAAGACTAGGAAGGTACAACACAAAGTGGAGTGAGTGGGATGAGGATCCCCAAACTCTTCCCAGTGCTCACTCCCCCTCTTCCGGCAGCCCCACTCGTAGCCCTGGGGCAATGCAACCTTGTTCACAGAATTTTAGGTCCGCGAAGTCAGCAGTTTCCACCCCACAACTCCTCCCCTCACCCGGGTAGAGGTCCACGGTCTTATTTCCAGGCGCCGAGGGGATCACGAGAGGAGGCCCCGCCGTGGAGATCCCAGGCGCCGCCGGGGTAGTGGCAGGGCCCTCCGAGGACGACTGGAGGGTCCCGCTCTGCGTCCCTGGCCCCTGGTCCGGAGAGGGGGACGCTGCCTCTGATGCGGAAGAAGAGGGCTGAGGCCGGGCGCCCTCGAGGAACATCAGGAAGAACACCTGCAGGAGCACGAGTCGCGGGGCGCCCATGGGGCAGGCGACCCCACGGGGGTCCAGCCACTAGACTCTCCGAGGGCTCCAGACGCGTTGCTAGAGCGTGGGTGGGAGGAGTCGCACAGCGTCTGACGTCATCCTCATATGCCTCAGCTCATTGGCTCCTGGCGCGCGCTGGGAGCTCGTCAGCCAATAGAAAGCGGGGTCGTTTCGGCTCTCTCGGCATCCTTCGGGCTGCTCCCTCCTCCGGGCGCTGCCTGCGTCGCCTAGCAACCGCCAGTAGCGAAGGAGCCCTTGCGCCTTCTCTCCGCTAGATGACAGTAGGGGTTCGGCGGAGGGAACCCGGCAGTGCCGTCCCGCGCAGACTTGGCGGCCGAGTACTGAGACCTTCCTCGATGGAGGGAAACCCCAGAGGCCGGAACTAGAATTGCAGATCTTTCCCACCCTGGATTCCAACGGTGAGAAACCCTTGCTATGGAAGAATAGTGGTCTGGGGGGGGGGCGGGGGGGAAGATACACCGAAGGGCACCCACCTTAAAAAAAACAGTCTCCTGTAGATGTTGCATTTCTTTTGGAGCGTCTTAAAAAGAATGTCCAGCTCCTTAAATGTTATCACTGAGAAATTTAAAAAACCCTCCATAAATGCATCAAATCACTAAAGGTGCATCGCATGTTTGTGCCAGCAAAAGTGCTGAGAGAAGGAGCATCAGGAAAAAGAAGAAAGGGTAGGGAGAAATGTGAGAAGATGGGGACAGAAAGAGTAAAAAAGGAGAGAAACGCATTTTTTTTTTTTTTAGGAGGCGAGGAAAGATGCAGGAATGGAAATAGTCAAGGGATGGAGAAGAAAACTTATTATTATTATTTTGCTATTATAATCGCCACTTCTTGTGACCCTCTTTAGGAGGTTTTTGGTTTTTTTCCAGGAGTGGCGTGCCTCTTCTGATTCTGAAGAGCAGGGCTGTCCCGTGGAACTTTCTGCAATGTTGGAAATGTTCCATATCTGCACTGTCCGGTATGGTAGCCACAGGCCATATGTGGTTATTGTGCACTTGGAATGTGATCATGTGACTGAGGAACTACACTGAAATTTGTAGATTGAAATTAATTCAGAGTTAAGCAACCGCAGATTGTGCCATCTTATACAGTAGGGCTCTCAGATGATAAAAAGCTTATTCCTGTTAGACCCAGTGATTTCCCGTGTTTGCATTTCTGACATCTGGATTATTTTAATTGCTTGGTTTGGAATATAAATTAAGATTTACCTAAAATCTAGTACATTTACCTAAAGTCTAGCCAATGCCCCCCTTTCCAAGTAAATCACACAGATAAAATTTAGGACATCTGACTTTAACTCACATTCTCTGAAAAGGTCTTGATTTTCTAATGTTTTGAAGTCAATAGCTAAATGTAACTCTTTGTTAAAAATGTTCTCAAACATACTTTTATGTGAATGAGAGATATGCATATTTATATATGGTCTTAAAACATTTATCTGCCTTATTAGTAATTTCTATAGAAAAAAGCCAAGTTCAGACTATTCAAATTATATGTGTTTATTAGAATATAAACTCCACTAAAACAAGGAGTTTTGTCTGTTTTCTTCACTAATGTATTCCAATGCCTAGAACAGTGCATAGGACATGTCAGATGTGCATTAAATATTGTTTAAGATTGTTTTGTTGAACTCTTTAGATTTAACTCTTATGAATATTTATAGTTTATTTCAAGATTGCATTTATTTCTATACAGTTTTTTTTTGCAATTTGTATGTAAAGGTCATTCTATAAAATTTATATTGTACATCTGATCAGAGACCATTTTAGACATCAAAGTTTAGAATTTAAATAACAACTCTCAATCAGTGTTAAGTTATTCCTGAATTTATTACTGTTGGCAAAAGACTTGGTTGATTGAAGTAATTTTAGTAATGAATGATAAGGAAGTAATGTTTTAAGATCTTTGTGAATTGCTTTTTCTTACTTTTAAATTTTAGCACTTAAACTTTTTTCAGAAAAGTTAAGTTTTTCTCTTCTTTTTGTTGTAGTTGAGCAAAAAGATGATTTGTGGTGTTGTTTTTATGAGTTTGTAGGAATCTGTAACACAGAACTCTCAGTTCTTTTGAGATCAAATATTAAAATCTGAAGTATTTTATAATTTTGAGGTTGGAGAATAAAATTGATTCACATTTGCCATGCAGATGCGAGTTTTAACATGGGGACCAAGTTTTAAACTGAGATAATATGACATCACCTCAGAAGCAGAGATTTCCAAATTAGATCATATGATACTAACAGCTGTCTGTGTTTGGGATTAAAAGAGTTCAATATGTGATTGGAAATTTAACTGGGACATGGTATCAAGATGGCAGACTGAGAGCAACTTCTAGCCTTTCTCCTCCCCTCGTTTCCAAATCTCTAACAATTACAGAAAAGTTAGGTAGATACACACACTCATGTGCATACACGAACACTCCTGGATGTTGAAAAACATGAAGGTGTGCTCTCATGGACCAGACACTATAAGAATTCTTGAAAAATAGATGGCAGATGGAATTGGATTAGGTGGCCAAACGAAGGTTGCATAACAGAGACCTTATACAGAAGTGGAAGTGGTGCTTGTGGTGTTCTAAGTGCACAGAAAGAAGCTATTGGTTATCAGTAGAGGCCCTTAGACAATTGTATGAATTACTGACTGAAGTCCCACTGTAGGAAGAGACAGGTAGGTCAGCTTCTCAACCTTACCCCCCCTTGTGCATGCAGAAGTTAGCAAAAGAATTTGCCCCGAAAGGTTGGGGGTGGGGGGAGAAAAAGGGGAGGCAATCCATGTAGGCACTTTTACTGAAAAGGCAGGACAGTGCCTTGGATGGCTTCTGACATTTAGGAGGAAGAGAGGCCCCACGTTTTGAGAGTAGTCTCTTCCAAAACTTGTGCTGAAATTTCATTCCCATTGTGGCAGTATTGAGAGGTGGGACCTTTAAGAGCTGATTGGATCATGAGGGTTCTACCCTAATGAATGGGTTATTCTTTTCATGAGCTAGTGGATTAATTGGCTAATGGATTAATGAGTTATCATGGGAGAGGAACTGGTGACTGTTTAAGAAGAGGAAGAGAAACCTAAGCTAGCAAGTTAGCTTGCTCAGCCTCCTTGCCATGTGACGCCCTGTGCTGCCTTGGGACACTGCAGGAAGTCCCCACCAGCAAGAAGGCTCTCGTGAGATGCCTTCTCGATCTTGAACTCCCCAGCTTCCACCATTGTAAGAAATAGATTTCTTTTCTTTATAACTGACCCTGTTTCAGGTATTTTGCTATAAGTAACAGGAAATGGACTAAGACAGAAAGTACCAAGGAGTGGGGTGTTACTGATAACTAACACCTGAAAATATGGAAGCAGATTTGGAACTAGCTGGGAGAGTTTGGAGGAGCTACAAAAAGACTGTTTCAGTGAATGGAGCATTAAGGGCAATTCTGGTGAGTACTCAGAAGACAAAAAGATGATGGAAAGTTTGGAACTCCTTAGAGATTGGTTAAGTGATTGTGACCAGAATGCTGATAGAAATATATAGTAAAGGTCATTCTGATGAGGTTTCAGATGGAACTGAGAAATGAGGTATGAAACTGGAGTAAAGGTCATCCTTGTTACAAATTGGCAAAGAACTTGGCTGAACTGTGTCCATGCCCAAGGGCTTTGTGGAAGACCCCATTTTAGAGTGATGAACTAGGGTATCTGGCAAAAGAAATTCCTAGGCGAAATATAGAAGGAGCTGCATGATTATATATTTGACCGCTTATGAGGAAGTTTGGGAGCAAAGGACTAATGTAAAGATAGTGTTTATCATTAAAACGGTAGCAAGGTGAAGAGATTTGGATAACTCTGGCCGTGTAAAGAATGAAAAAGCGTATTCAAGAGAGGAAACCCAGGGTGTAGCCAGTGACTGTTTGTTATAGAGATGGACTCGAATAGAAGGGAGACAGGTGATATTCCTCAAGACAATGAAAGAAGGACTCAAGACATTTCAGAGATCTTCCAGGCTGCCCCTTCCATCACAGTCCCAGAGGCCCAGGAGGGCAGAATGGCTTTGGGGGACAGATTGGGCATTCTCCACAGACTTGCTGCCCTGGGTCACTTCAGGAGGCTGAAGGGAGTCCCCACCAGCAAGAGGACTCTCGCCAGATGTGCTTCCTTGGCTTTGGCCTTTCCAGTCTCCATAGCCATAAGAAATAAATTTCTTTTTAAAAATAATAACCCAGTTTCGTGTATTCTGTTATAAGTAACTGAAAATGGACTAAGACACACACCTTATCGAACTGTATATCCACCATTTCCTCCACAGATCCTGGAGACAGACTGCCATAAACAGAGCCAACATGTGCACAGCCTTACAGGGAATCTCAGTCTACCCAGATGAACACACTATCCAAAGATCCACATTTGAAAAAGAAAAAACCTATCAAAGAAAAATGGTGTCCCATACGCAAGAAGCATTAAAACCAGATGAAACGAGTTAATAGAACAAGCTAGAAAAAGAGTTTAGAGCAAATATAATTAATGTCTCTAGAGAGACACAAAAGAATATTGTATCTATGAAACAGGAGTCAACTAGGAATTATGATTAAAGATGGCGGGAAAATGCACACTTGATCCTTCTTCTAAAAACAAAATTTTTTTTTTGAGTCGGCGTCTCACTCTGTTGCCCAGGCTGGAGTGCAGTGGCACGCTCCCGGCCACTGCAGTCTTGACCTGCTGGACTCAGGCGATCCTTCCGCCTCAGTCTTCCAAGTAGCTGGAACCAAAGGCATGTGCCACCACGCCTGGCTAATTTTTTTTATTTATTGCAGAGACAAGGTCTCGCCATGTCACTCAGGCTGGTCTCAAACCTCTGAGCTCAGGCAATCCTCTCACCTCCACCTCTCAAAATACTGGGATTACAGGCTTGAGCCACCATACCCAGCTGCTTCTGAAATTTTGAAAAAATATCACTTAAAAGGTTAAAAGGACATACGTACATTCATAAAAACAAAAATAATTAGGGGATGTGTGTTGGCCATCAGCTT